GGTTTAGAGCTGAAGGTTTAGGGGCTAGAGTGTAGGGTACACTGGTGCCTGTGCTTTTTTGAGGCGCCTCAAAATCGCTGTGAGAGAGATGGTGAATACACTGGAGCCAGTGCAGTTAAAGGAATGCGTATGTGTCTGTCTCAGCAGTGATCCCTTGTTGCCTGTATCCTTCATTCGATTGAAAAATTGTTGGCTGTCTCAAATCTGGAATCCACCATCTGGTCCCCCATTCCATCTGGTCACCGTACCATCTGGTCCCCCATTCCATCTGGTCCCCCATTCCATCTGGTCCCCCATTCCATCTGGTCCCCCATTCCATCTGGTCACCGTACCATCCCTATCCCATCCCGTACCATTCTGATGGCGAACCTGATGGCGAACCTGATGGCGAACCTGATGGCGAACCTGATGGGGAACCTGATGGCGAACCTGATGGCGAACCTGATGGCGAACCTGATGGCGAACCTGATGGCGAACCTGATGGCGAACCTGATGGCGAACCTGATGGGGAACCCTCAGTAGCCTCCCCACCTACTCACACTCCCTCTGCACAAGTGCTACGTTTGTTCAATCGACCCACATGTCTAGTCGTAAGCTCATCAACTGGTGACGGCAGAGGCAGTGTCGTTCCTGCTGGCAGGGACATTGTGGTTACTCCCTCCTTGTGTGTATGGGCTGTGTGGTTATGGTGGCTATGCTGACGTGGTGGCTGTGGGCTGATATGGAAATGCACAGGAGATTGGAAGAATGCTGGATAGAACCTGCACCTCTAACGATTTTCGCCCCGCTGGTGGCGTTGCATTACTTGTGCGTATATACACCCTTTTCTCAAACGTCCCTTGCGTTCGCATTTGGTCCTTGTAGTGATGGTCCTCCTGGGTACAATAATTCAACAAACATCTCCCTTCTGTGTGGGCACAGGAATTTGTTTAACAACTCGTTTGAAGGCTCTCTTTCTGGCCTTACATCACTCTCTCGCCTCGAACACCTGTAAGACCCCCAGCTCACCTCACCTCACCTCACCTCACCTCACCTCACCTCACCTCACCTCACCTACACACCTCGCCTGACACTCTCCTTACCCAATCAACCATATCTCACTGGCCTATCACCCTTGCATCTTCCCTACGCATTCTCACACCCTCATGTTCTGCCATGTGATTCATCATCATAATCGAAACCTCACAACACATGAAAAGAATCAGCAGAGCCTCCCTGCACGTACCATTCATATTTGGCTCGTGTGATGGATGATTTACCGCCAGTGTGTATGTCAGTTTTTTGTTTGTTTTGTGTGTGTGTGTGTGTGTGTGTGCGTGCGTGCGTGCGTGCGTGCGTGCGTGCGTGCGTGCGTGCGTGCGTGCGTGCGTGCGTGCGTGCGTGCATGCGTGTGTGCGCGAGCGAGTGCAACGCGCGCGCGCGCGCGTGTGTGTGTGTGTGGCCCTCCTTATATTTTCTCTTCTATCTGTACCTACCTTTCTTCATTTGGTTCTCTTCTGGCAGGGACTTGGCGGACAATTACATAGGACCCAACATACCATCCACTTTATCCCAGCTCTCCGGGCTCTCTTACCTGTACGAACGGCACAGCACACACATGGATAAAGGTTGCAGGAAAAAAGGGTTTAGGTGGCCACACATGGATAACGGTTGCCACGGGGCCATGTGCCAACATGATCAGTTCGTTGACTAAACCCCGCCACATGTTCCTATGCCAGCTTGCCACATTGCTTTTCATATTGATCTGTCTCTCCCTTCACCCACCCCCTCCACTCATCTTCCTTATTTGACGTAGCACTGTCTCACACACACACTCACACCCGCACACATGCACACATGAACCCATGCAAGCAACAAACAATACACACACACACACACACACACACACACACACACACACACACACACACACACACACACACACCCACATTCTCCCCATCTCAACAGCGATCTTTCGCTCAATAGTCTGAGTGGCCCCATCGACCCCATCACATCTCTCACTGCACTGCAAGTCCTGTCAGTATTCGCGTCCGTATTGCTTGCTGCCTGCACACACTCATCCACCACTTGGCCCATCCTTCCGTTCCTCTATCCATCCATCCATTCGTCCGCATCCATCCATCCATCCATCCATCCATCCATCCATCCATCCATCCATCCATCCATCCATCCATCCATCCATCCATCCATCCATCCATCCATCCATCCATCCATCCATCCATCCATCCATCCATCCATCCATCCATCCATCCATCCATCCATCCATCCATCCATCCATCCATCCATGCATCCGTCCATCCGTCCGTCCGTCCGCCCATCCATTCATGTGTATCGCCATGCTCTTGCTCCCCCTACTGCATGCAGGGTACTATACACCAACCCTCTCTCGGGCTCTTTTCCTGAGTCCATCTCACGACTGTCTCGGCTTACTTTTCTGTGAGCCATAGATCTGCTGTGCTCTGCCATGCACTGCCATGCTCTGCCTGCACTTGGAAATGTTTGCAATCTTTGTTTTCAACCATCTTCGTGCTGTTGAGAAATATAATAGCTTGACAAAGGGTTTCAGCTCTCCTTACTAGTGCATTCTTCACACCACTGAAAAGCACACAGCCCAGCTTCACACTACAGGACCACTACCCACCACATTACCACCACCAGCGCCACTGCACTATACTATCACCACCACCAGCTCCAATAAGCCAAGGACTGCGTCTTCTGTGGTGGTCCTCGGTCCCTCCGATTGCCACACACTGCTTCGCTCTATGCGTGTTTTCTTGCCAGGAAGACACGATTCATTCACTCACTCATTCATTCACTCTCACTCATTTGTTCATGCTTTAATCAAATCCTTCCCTTCATGCTCCACCCCACTACACATCCAGGGAGATCAGCGGGACCAACTTCACAGCCACCCTTCCCGCATCCCTTGGCCAGATGACCACTCTCAGACATTTGTGAGCTCAGATCTCTTTAGCGGCACGTCAATCTCACTACTCACCTCTCTCACGAAAGCAGCTGCACCAACGATTTGAGTTTCCTCTACACGAAAGCAGCTGCACCAAGGTGCACTCTACCCTGCCCAAAACACAGCCAAGACAGCACCAAACCAACCAACAAACAAACAAACAGATAGCAGGGTGCAAAGCTTGCATCCGTTGGTTAAAAGATGTATCTACCTAACCGCGATGCACCCTCTATGATATCCCAGAATTCCTGTGAAGCTGCGACTCGTTCCTTCCCAGCTGCCTGAAGTACACAACCATGGTGGGGTTGATGCCAGTGGTCTGGGGTTGATTCGACTCAGAATCTGTTTCCTCTCCTCTCGTCTCTCGCCCCCAGGGGCTTGGATCGCACAACAATGGTGGGGTCGCTGCCTGCATCCCTGGGCAACCTCACGCGTCTTACTCAGCTGTAAGGCTCCTGCTGTGCTATGCCGCGCCGTGCTCTTGTGCTGTGCTGTGCCATGTTGCAACGCAAGGCGAGGTAAGGCGACTTCTGAGTCGAAAGTCACCTCGAAGGCCTGTGTTCCCTTTCTTTCAATATCATTGCGCCTGTGTGCGCCCACTCGCTTCCTCATGTGCGCTTTCCTCTGCCTCTCTTTCAGCGTGTCTCAGCAGTCCTCGTGTCCCTCTTTTTCAACCTTCCGCAGTGCCCACCTTCCACCTCGCCCCTCCTCTCAGCTATCTTCCTCTCAACTTACCCCTCCTCTATGGCCAACCCCCTCCTCCTCTCGTCGGCTCCCCACAGTTTGTTCGAGCCTCTGAGTAAAACGGTGGGCCCCAGGTGTGGCAAGGAAGGAGCGTGCGTGGTGAATCAGAGTGCCTTCACGGCCTTCTGTGCCGCTTGCCCTGACTTCTGTCTGACCTGCACGCTCCCGGGCCTCTGCACCGGTTGCAAAGGTGCGTGAGAGTAGGGATGGGCATGGGCTGGGCCTGGGCCAGGCCGGGGTCAGGATAGGTCGGCCGAGCCTCATAGGCAGGCCAGGCAGCAGCCGGCCCGAACCAGTCCTTCTTGCTAGAGAGTTCACCTGCAACCCTACTTGTAGTTGTGCACTTGGAGTGGTGTGGGGTGTGGGTGTGGGTGTGGGTGTGGTTGGGATTACTGTGACAAGTTTGTTTCCAGAAGCAGCAGCACGCACGCACGCTGGTTGGTTTGGTGCACTGCAGGTATAACTTCCATGAAATAATATCTTCCTTCTCACACATCACTCACACACAACCCCTCTCCCTGCACCTTCCTCCTCTGTCCATTTTAATTTTGCCACCTCACCCTCTCATGCTCTGCTCCCTGCATCCCTGCCTCTCCCCTGTCAGTTTCTGAACCCCTGCAAGAGCTACCTGCAGGAAGCAACAGCAGCGGCAGCAGCGGCGGCGGCGGCAGCAGCGGCTTGTCTACGGGAGCGATCATAGGCATCGTGTGTGGGGTGGTGGTGCTGCTGCTCGCACTGCTGCTCGCCATTCTCTTCTTTCTCTTCAGGAGGAAGAAGGTATCTCGCTTCGGTAAGCTCTATGCTGCATTCCATCCCTTGAGGTTGAGGCAGGTGATCACGCATCTGTGTCGTGCCAACTTCCAAGCACACACACACACACACACGAGAATCTGATGTCTTTGGCTTTGCTTTTAGAAGCCAGATGCTGTTCTCGCAAATGCATTGACGCATGGAACACTTGCGTGCACGATGCATGCAGGTGCGCTGGCCAAGGGCATGTGCGTGGAGTATACAATGAAGGAGATGCAGCAGGCCACCAACAACTGGTCGGAGGAGAACCTGCTGGGGTCGGGGGGCTATGGCGACGTGTACAAAGGCGTGTCTCCCGACGATGGCACCACGCTGTGGGCTGTGAAGCGCGCCAAAGTGATCACCAACGACTTCCAGCGGGAGGTGCGTGCGTGTGTGTGGAGGGGTGACGTTGTGATTTTGACAGGAAAGGAGTAGCCCATATAAACTTGTCCCGTCTCCAATGCTCCAATGCATGTAGCTCTTGTCGGTGCAAGAGATTCGTCTCTAGCACTTTCCATGAGCACGGATCAGGTCCCGTCACATGCTCCTCACTGTTCGTGGTTTACCTCTGTCCCTCACCACAACTCCCAACCTCCCTGCCCTCTTCTCACTCATCCCTGTTCTCCTCTCTACTCCCCATTGCACACACCCCCATTTTTCCTCATCCCCCTTATACATTCTCTGCAGGTGAGCGAGATGGCATCAAAGCACCACCCCAACCTAGTGCGGCTGTTGGGCTACGCCACATGTGGTGACCTGCGGGGACGCATTGAGCAGATTCTCGTCTACGAGTTCATCTCCAATGGGGATCTGCACAAATGGCTCGGTTCAGGTGAGGGGAAGAAGGGAGGGCGGGAGAGGAGGATGGGGCAGTTTCACATCTACGAATTCGTCTCCTACGGTAACCTTGACAACCCCTCTCGTGAACGCGGCTGTGCAGATGCTCCCTCGCCCCTCACGTTGAGGCAGCGGCTGGATGTGATAGTGGGAGCAGCGCGCGGGTTTGAGTACCTGCATGGCTTTGACATCGTACATCGCGACATCAAGCCCGCCAATATCCTGCTGGATAGCAACATGCAGGTGATAGTCAAGAAGCAGCAGCACTGTCTGTTGCCCCTTTCAATGATGATCGCACATTACCTTTGATGATATTTTGCCTGCCTTTTGTCCGTCCGTCCGTCCGTCCGTCCGTCCGTCCATCCATTCACCACCCGCACACCTTTCCACCCATGCACGTTCTATCACCCCTCCCAACAGCCCAAGGTGGCTGACTTTGGTCTCGTGCGAGTGGAGGGGGGTACCACAGTGCAAGCCACGCGAGTGATGGGCACACCGGGCTTTGTGGACCCGGCTTACTCCCACACACACAAGGCCACTCCTGCGACTGACGTGTACAGGTGCTCATGTGCACTGGCACACACACACAACCACAGTACATTCGGATGTGGTGTGGGTAATGTTGCTGTTTGGTCCAGGACTGGTAGCTGCATGTGTTGCAAAGGGATCATCCGCTCTGGTGAATATGATGTATTTGCCTCCGGTCTTGCATCTTTGAAAATGTCTGCCATGTATGTGCACCTGGGTGTGCATGTGTTTGCGCATGTGTGTGTGTGCGTGCGTGCGTGCGTGCGTGCGTGCGTGCGTGCGTGCGTGCGTGCGTGCGTGCGTGCATGCGTGCGTGCATGCTTATGCCAGTTTTGGTGTTCTCATGTTGGTAGTGATCACGGGCCGGCATGCCACCTTCGACGAGGACAGCCTTTTATGGAACATTCTTGACTGGGTACGCACGCCGTCCTCCTCCCACATTCCCTCTCTCTCCCTCCCTTCTCACTCTCCCTCTTCTTCTCATCTCTTCTCAACTCTATCGTTCGCCTCTGGGCTGCACCCACTCTGTCCCACCTCCACCCTCAACCCCCCCTTCCCCCTTCTCCACCCACCCCCAGCAGCCGTTGCTAATGCCCTTCTCTACCTCTTCGCACGTCCCTCCACCTTTTCCCATCCCACTTCACCACCCTCACACAACACCCACAGGTCCAGGAGAAGCTCAGCCAGGGGGCAATGGATGAAATCGCAGATCCTCGCATGGGCCCCGCTCCTCCAGACGCCCTGCAGCGCATGGCAGACCTGGCGGTGCGCTGCACGGCCACCTTCACTGCTGACCGCCCCTCCATGGGCCGCATCGCCCAGGAGATGGAGGCTCTACGGGCCGAGGTGTGCGGTGGCGAGGAGGAGGTGAATAAATCTTACAAGAAGGTGGATGCTGAGTTAAGGGAGAAGATGCAGCATCAGAGTCTGATTAATGAGGACAATTTGAACGATGCACTTGAGTCGATTCCGTCATCGAGAGTAGGTGATGCAGGAGGGACATGGGGAGTGTGATGGAGACTGAGGGCATGTGGGGCACTAGTGAATATACCGTAAGTGGAGAGGGCTTAGTCAGTGTGCATATTTCCACGAGGTACTCCAATTTTAGTGTAATTTCCTAAGATGGTGATACTGGTGACATCCTAATTAGCTCAGTGCCACTAGCTAATGCATCAGCATGCAAACTAATTAGTCTATTGACAGGCTGGAGATACTGTATTGTGTGGTGTGGACGTCCTTCTGTCATGTATGTGACAGCCTCGTGAAACTATGTAGTGTATTTTTTTCACACTGAGGATGAGCCACCTTATCTAAAGGGATGCTATAAATCAGTGTGACCCAGACCAAATCCATGCCTGCACACAAGCACGTTGACTGCTGCGAAGCGATTCGCTATGAAGCCCTGTGAGGCTCAGCTAGATGACACCAAGCCACACAGACGCGTGCCGTACCTCGTCCAAAGCTGGCTTGTCTGAAGTTCGAGGCTCGGATTACGAACTTATCAGTTGCGCCCGCATGCCCAAACAAGCCGCGGTCCTCGCACGGCGGGGTTTCCAAGCACGTCGAATCGAGATAGAGAGGTGAGGGGGGATGTGGGCGTTCCACAGGAGCGAAGCGATCCCACCCATTCCATCCATGCCAAAGCGGTAACTTCTAGGTTGTACGGCTTTGACCCTCCCATCAGCCTCTCCCCCTCGACCACGATTTCTCCCTCGATTTGTCTGCTCGTATGAACCGCCACTACCTGTTGGAAAACTCTCACCTACCGCACAGATAGAATTTTAGGGTGCGCTGAAACGATAGTAGGGTTGTCTGCAGCCAACTAGCTCACTTCCAGGTTAGCTAGTCCTTTACTCCTCGGTTGAGTTATGGATGGATACATTATTGTCTGCATCTCTGCTTGTCCGTCTGCTTTAAGCCAGTCAGTTTCACCATTGTTATAATTTACGCTTTAATTCATTGCGCTCTCCTTCGCCTCGTGTATTTAAAGACTCTAATTCCTCCTACAAGTGTTTCAGTAGTTTGCAGTCGTGGCCCGCATTTACTTTCCGGACGCCGACCTGTTGCTCCCTGTAGGTCTCGGGCCTCACTATGTGCAATAGAGCGACGCCGGAGTTCTCAGCGCGTCGTTTGTCAACCACCGAAACTCCCACACACATCACCAGCAGCATCAGCAGCAGCAGCAGTACCATCTATAGCGCACGCGGCTTCGTCCGCGTTATAGAGTGTCTATTAATCGCGCGTCAGCTCGTCGTAGCGTGAGAAATCCCGCATGGCCTCGACAGGCCAGGGCGCTCCTCTGGGGCCGTCCGGCGGACAGTCGAGACCAGCGCCGCGCAAGCCCGCACCCGATGCCGCGGGGGGCGCAGGAACTGCGCGGAAGCAAAGCGGTAGCGTCGGCGGGGGTGGTGGTATCAACCGACAGCATTCCGCTAGGTCGACAGTCTCCAGTGAGGAATCGGAGGGCGGAGAAGGCTCCACCGTCAGATCAACGGCTGGGGACGGTGGCGGAGCGGCAGGGGTTAAGTCTGACAATGCTTCCGAGCCGCCCACTCCTAGCGGGAGTAGTAAAGGCGGCGGGGAGAGTAAAAAGCCTAAGACTTTCACGAGGCTGCTTTCTAAGAAGGGCGGCAGTTCAAGCAGCGCCGGCACGGCGACGAACGCCAGCGGTGGTAGCAGCAGCGGACGGCACAGAAGCGGATCGGGAATTCCCTCCGGAGCACCTCACCCTCATCCGCCAACATCAGCAGCAGCAGCAGGAGCAGCAGCAACGGCGACAGCGGCGGCATCGACAGCACCGGCGGACGCGGCGGCGGCGGGTTACAGCAGCGACGCGTCGGTAGCCAGCAAGTCGTCCGGAAGATCGGGGGCTGTGAAGAGATCAGCGGCTGTGAGCATGGTGCGGCGATCGACGGGCGTGATGCTGGTGATGGATCCGTGGACGGCCAAGATCTTGCACGTGAGCGAAGGGGGAATCGCGGCGCTAGGATACAGCAAGGCGGAGCTGAGGGAGCGCACGATCTGCGACCTGGCGGATGGGCTGACGCTCGTGGAGTGGTCGAAAGCCATTGGCGGACTCGCCAGCCAGGAGGCGAGAAGAGTGGTGCTTAGGTAAGTGCTAACGTGAACGCCGTCATTTTCAGCCATTTTTATCTGTTATACTTTACGGAATTATTGTTTCTCGATTGCTCGGTGGCGTAGACTAGTGTTTGTGTACTTCATGCGCGAATGAGAGCCCTCACCCAGAATTAAGCTCTTGAAACATGAAGACGGGTGATATGAAGAGTATTCTGACAGGTCCTTTATTCTTGCAAGCTTCATCTTTCCGCTTTATAAGTATGGGGGCTTTGTCTGCCCAAATCCTGTCTTTTGGGCCTTGTATTCCGTCTCACCTCTTTCCACATCCTCGCCCTCCTCTCGCGCAGGTTCCGTCTGTGCAAGACCACGGACCGCAAGGCCGCACTGCTAGGGCAGAAGGTAGACCTGGAGTTGCAGCTGCATGGCGCAGGCGAGAACAAAGACCTTGTGGGTACCATGACGCTCGCTAACCCGGACCTTACTTCTTCCAGGCACGCTGGCAGCAGCAGTAGCAGCAGCAGCTCCTCTCACCACCACCAGCACAAGGAGAAAGGGGCTTCTGTCGCTGCAGCCCCTGCAGCTGCTGGTGGTGGTGTTTCAGGTGCAGCTGCGGCTGGTGCCGCGACTGGTAGTGCCACTGGGGGAAAGGAGGGAGCAGCGAAAGGGGCGACGAGTGGCGATGCTGGTGCTTCTGGTGGTGCGTCTGCTACTGGAACGTCAGGCTTAGCAGGCAAGGCCAGACGACCTGGGGGTGATAGGCCCGGCAGTGCAGTTGGTAGGAGTGGGAGTGTTAGTGGTGGTGGCGCTGCTGCTGCTGCTGCTGCTGCGTCGCCGTCCCAGCAGAGGAGAGAGAGAGTGCCAGGGAGGGAGAAACCAGAAGGAGCTGCGGGCAGGGCTGCTGCTGATGGTAGTGGCAGCAGTGGGGCTAGCAGCACCGCTGCAGCTGTGACGGCAGCAGGGGCAGCTTCGGGAGTAGAGAAGGAGAAAGATGCGGCGAAAGGGAGCAGGGATAAGGAGAGGGAGAGGCGAGTAAAGGAGAAGGAGGATAAGGGGAAGAGTGCGGGGAGTAGGGACAAGGAGCGGAAGGCAACGGAGGGGGAGGGGAAAGGGGAGGACGGCGGGGAGAGTACTGCATCTGAAAGCAGGGAAGGCGAGACAGCGAGCAGCAGCAGACGCCCTAGCAGCAGCAGCAGCACAGGAGGAGCTGCAGCGAGTGGGGGCGGGGCTGGGGGAGGAGGCGGAGCAGGAGCAGGGGCGGGGACGGCAGCAGCAGGGGGTAGCAGTGTGAGTGGCGTGAAGAAAGCCCCAGTGGTGCGAATACCGTCTGGGGATAATAACAAGGGGAGTGAGGTGGGTACGCCTACGAAGCGGCGTAGCAGCAGCAAGAGAGCATCAGAGCTCAGTGCTGCTGGTGCTGAAGGTGCGGTTAGCAGCCCTAGAACCCCCTCTGGCTCTCGCTCCCGCTTCTCCTCCTCTTCCTCTGTCCCTTCCGCGGGTGCTGCTGGGAGCGCGGGGGCGCGGGAAGCAGGCGCAGGCGCGGAAGGGGACGCGGGGGTGAAGAAGCCTGGCAGACTGGCGACCACTGGCGGGCCTGGGGCGCGGGGAATGGGGAGAGCGGAGAGCACTGGTGGTATCGGGGCGAAAGGGGCGCAGAAAAAAGGTTCAGGTGGAGGGGAAGAGATGGGAGGAGGGGAGGGGGTTGGAGGAATGGAAGGAGCAGGGGAAGGAGAGATGGGGATGGGGGAGGAGGAGGATTTGATGGATGACATGTATAGCCCGGTGCACGGGGAACAAGGCGGGGGAATGGGCATGGATGAGGGCATGGGCATGGACATGGGCATGGGCATGGGCATGGGGATGGAAGGGAACGAGGGGAAGATGGCATGATGCATGATGGGGGAATGGGCATGGGAGCTATGGGGGGGCATATGCATGATGATGTGGATGATGATGATGACGATGATGATGATTATGATGATTCCACCATCATGGCAAAGCCTTTGAATACGATGGATGGCGGTGGGGGGATGATGGGGGCAGGTGGAGGGCCTATGGGTGCTGGGGGCCACATGGGCATGGGGCCCCATGGATACATGGGCATGGGGATGGGCGGTGGTATGGGCATGGGCGGAGGCATGGGAATGGGCATGGGGATGGGTATGGATGGGATGGGCATGGGCATGGGCATGGAGGCTATGAATATGGGGATGGGTATGGATGGCATGGGGATGGGCATGGGCATGGGGATGGGCGGAATGGGCATGGGAATGAATCCTGGGATGATGGGTATGGGGCCAGGAGGGTTGAATATGATGGGAGGCGGGATGGGGATGGGTGGGGGAGGTATGGGTATGGGGGTTGGCATGGGGCCGGGAGGAGTGGGGCCAGCAGGCATGGTAGCAGGGATGGTGGCCGGGATGCCTCTTCCCGGACCTGCTGGCATGGCTCGGCAGCAGCAGCAGCGGAGGGGGAATTATAGGGAAGAGCAGATGAGCCACGATAGTATAGTCTTAGCTCCTATTTTGCATTCTCCGGGGATGGGCATGGGGATGACGGGCATGGGTATGGGGCAGATGATGGGAGACGACGAGGAGGATCATGGGGATGATGATGAGGACTTGTATGGTGGCGGAGGGGGGAGGGAGGAGGAGGACGAGGAGGGGTTAGGGTTAGAAGAGGATGACGGTGGGATAGACTTGTACAGCCCTGCTTCACGCGCCTCCCGTGCTTCGCGTAGTGGTGGAGGGGCCGGTGCACGGAGGAAGGCGGATGCTGCTACCATGGCTGCTGTGACTGAATCCGTTCTTGCCCTCAACAGGTGCCACCATTCTTCCCGCAATCTCCCGTCCACTCCTCTACTTTCACCCCTCACACCCAGCTCCATTCCCAGCTATTCCCCCATTCCTCTCCCACCCTTTCTCACATCTCTTCCATCCTTTCTCCTCCCCCGCCCCGCACCCCGCCCTTCCCCCCCTCTGTACTCTTCCCCCTCCCCTCTCGCGTCCTCCGTCCTACGGTCCTCCCCATCCCCCTGTCTGCCAACGACGAGCAGGGCGCTGATGGATGCAGCAGGGTTGGGAACGGTGACGCTGGTGGCAGCAACGCGCACAGTGGCAGTGAGCAACGAGGGCATGGCGGCCATGCTGGGGCGCGCCAGGGCGGACGTGGACGGGCACTGCTTTGCGGACCTCGTGGTTGAAGCCGACCGACCCAAGTTCGAGGTGCCTGGGGGAAAACGGTTGCAGCGCTCTGGGGCAAACGGTTGCAACGCTTTGGGGGATGGGGATTGATGATGGCAGGGAAAAGGGGAGGGAATGGGGGAAAGAGGGACGGAAGGGCCGGATGAGGAAGGGGAAAGGGCGTGTTAGGTTATGTCGAAGTGTTTCCGTTTTGTTCTTCCTTCCATCCGTGCCTTTCACACTCATCCTCCGTTGCTTCTCCGCCTTGGTCTGCTCCTGCTGCCTGGCAGGCCTGGTTGGATCGAGTGTGCAAGAAGGCTGAGGAAAGCCAAGCTTCTGTCGCTGCTACTGCAGACTCTGCAGAAGCAGGGAAAGCAGGGTCGGCGGTGCCTGATGGTCAAGGGGACAGCGCAATGGAAATGCTTGGCACTGCTGCTGCTGCTGCTGCTGCTGATGGTGCTGCTGGCAAGGACGGTGGAGCAGTGATGGCAGGAGAAGGAGCGGAAGCAGCAGCAGGTGGAACAGCAAGACCAGAGGCAGCAGCAGACGGGGTAGGAAAGGAGAGAGCAAGTGCAGAAACTGGGGCAGCAGCAGTGGCGGCAGAGGCAGCAGTAGGGCAGGGGAGGGACTGTTTGGAGGTGCGGATGCAGCACAAGCTGGGAGGCTCTGTGCGTGTGCGTATGACTGCTGCTCTGCCACCGCCAGCAGCAGCAGCAGCAGCCCCTGACACACAAGCTGCTGCCCACCAAGACAGTCACAGCGCCACGCCCGACGCTGCTACATCTGCCACTGCTGCTTCTGCTGCTGCTGCTGCTGGCGCCGCTGGTGCTGATGCTACTGCTGGTGCTGCTGCTGCTGCTGGTGTGGCTGGTGCTGGGAAGGGCGGGAGTGGTGGTGGTGGGGGGGTGTTGCCGGAAGTGGTGGCGCTGCTGGTGCATGATATCACGGGGTGCTGCCGGCATGGTGAGGAGATGAGGGAGGCCAAGCAGGCAGTGCAGGAGGCAGCAGTGGAAGGCAACAAGGAGTTTTCTCGTATTGTGTGCCGGGAGGTCGGCACTGCTATCAATGGTAACTCTCCGCTTTTTCCTCTCCAGGTCCCCTCTCCCTTCTGCCTTCTGCCCTCCTCCCTAACTCACATCCACTCCTCCTCCCTTCCCCTCCAACCCCATGACTCACCGCTCCTTCCTCGCCTCTTTCTCTCTTCCCTTCTCCCCTTCTCCCCTTCTCCCCCTCTTCCCTTCTCCCTCTCTCCCCTTCTCCCCATTCCCCCCCTACCAGGTGTGGTGGGCATAGCGGATCTACTACTGGACACGGACTTGGCGGGCGAGCAGCGCATATTCATGGAGCTCATACTGGCCACCGCGTCCAACCTGCACACCGTGCTCGCCAACCTGCTCCTCTCCGCCGCCACCCACCCGCCGCTGCCCGCCGCTGGGGGCTTCTCCAAGCCCTCGCTGCACCTCGCTGCACAGGACGTGGACCTGCACCGACAGGTGAGAGAGGGGGGCGGGGCAAAGGGAGGCGAGCGAGAGGTGGGTTGGTGGGAGAATGGGTGGGTGGGGATGGGCGCAGGCTCCTGTCTTTGGATCACCTCGCTGGGGGCTTCTCCAAGCCCTCGCTGCATCTCGCCACACAGGACGTGGATCTGCACCGACAGGTGAGAGGAGGGGAAAGTGGGGAGGGGTGGGGGTTGGTGAGAGCGAGAGGAAGGGTGGTGGGACGGAGAGGGAGATTGGGTGGCGTGTGCAGGTATAGGCTGCTGGTCTTTCACCTTGCCTGGTCACTGATTTTCCTCTTCTGTGCTATCTCGCTCATGTGTCTTTTTACGAGCATGTTTCATGTTCCAAATGAGCCGATCTTGATGCACGGCCTGTGAGTGTATGTTTGCATGTGATGGGTACATGGGTGCATGCGGGTTCATGGGTGAATGCGGGTACATGGGTACATGGGTGCATGCGTGTGTGCGTGTGCGTGTTCCATCAGGTGCGGGAGTGTGTACGGCTGGTGGACGTGGTGGCGAAGGAGAAGGGGCTGGCGCTCATGTGTGGGATAGACTCAGCGGTGCCGCGCATGGTGCTCACAGACGCAGTGCGCCTCAGACAAGTGCTCATGAACCTGCTCTTCAACGCCCTCCACAACACCACCCGGTTCTCATCTTACACCCCTCCCCGCCTCTCCCTCCGCCCCTCCCACTCCCTCTCTCCCTCCCCTCCCGCCTCTCCCTCCCCTTTCCCCCTCCCCTACCCCCCTCCCCCCTCCCACCCCCCCTTCCCGCTCGCCGTCTTCCTACTGCTTCGTCTCTCTTGGTTTGACTTCTTGCTTATAGTTTTTTTTCTCCATGGCTGTGCCAGCCCCTCACTATCCTTCACATGCCTACTTCTCCTGTCCTGGCCTGCCCACAGGATTTTTCCCTGTGTGGCACACCCCTGCTCCCATTCGTTCCCCATGCACGCCACCCTACCCAGTCCTTGTTCTCCATTATCACCAAAGCAACCAACCCCTTGATCACTAAGCACATGGTGTCTCGATCTAATCCTCACCCAAGACTATAAACGCTAATGCCCATCTCAACTCCGCCTCCCTCCTTTCCCTTGCCTCCTTTCCCTTCCCTCCTTTCCCTTCCCTCCTTTCCCTTGCCTCTTTTCCCTTCCGTCCTCGCCTCTCCAATCTCCCCGCACCGATGGCATGCACCAGGGGCGACATCACAGTGAGTCTGCGCCTGGCGTCGCGGTACGAGAGGGAGCAGGTGCAGGAGCGGCGCCGGGAGCACAAGGCGCAGCAGCGCGCCCTCCTCGGCCCCGCTGCTGCTGCCTCCACTGCCGCTGACGACGACGACGAGGAGGACGCAGACAGTGCTGGCGCGCTGCTGCTGCGCTTTGAAGTGCGGGACTCGGGGACGGGCATGCCGCCTGCCATTAAAGACGAGCTCACTGCCATGTTCGCCTCTGTGAGTGCACTGCACTGCACTGCACTGCACTGCACTGCACTGCACTGCACTGCACTGCACTGCGCTGTACTGCGCTGTACTGCTCTGTACTGCACTGCGCTGTAATGCACCTTTCCTGGCCGTCAGGCATGGTGGCTGCACACCTCGCACCATTGCATTTCACTGCCCGTCATGCCTCCATCGCCTCCCTCCCGTTCCTCCCACTCCTTTCCCCTCCCCTCTTCTCCCCCTCCCCTTTCCCCCCCTCTCGCCCTCTCCCCCTCCCGCCCTCTGCCGCGCCCACAGACCCTCCCAGCGGAGTCAGTGAACGGCATTCGGGGCACAGGTCTCGTACTCGTGAAGAATCTCCTCGACATGTTCGGGGGCTTCTTGCGCTTTGACAGCGACGAGCACCGCGGGTCGTCCATGGTGTTCTTTGTGCACGTCGCCATCCCCGAGGTCATGCTCACGCCTGCCGAGCTCAGCCCGCACCAGCCCCCGGACATGGCGCTGTGGCGCCGACTGGCAGACATCCGCGTGCTGCTCGTTGACGTGAGTCCTGCTGCTGTCCGCTCCCACTAGTAACACATCCGTCCATTCATCCATCCATTCTTCTACCTCTCACCCAAAAGGATAAGCCGGAAACCCGCATGCATCTCTGCATGCGCATACCTTCATCTCCTCTGCACCTGTGCCTGAGAACGAATGAATCAACGCGTGTGCGTTCATGCATGTGTTTGCATGTGTCGGGATGGATGCACACGTATGTGTGTGTGTGTGTGTGTGTGTGTGTGTGTGTGTGTGTGTGTGTGTGTGTGTGTGTGTGTGTGTGTGTGTGTGTGTGTGTGTGTGTGTGTGTGTGTGTGTGTGTGTGTGTGTGTGTGTGTGTGTGTGTGTGTGTGTGTGTGTGTGTGTGTGTGTGTGTGTGTGTGTGTGTGTGTGTGTGTGTGTGTGTGTGTGTGTGTGTGTGTGTGTGTGTGTGTGTGTGTGTGTGTGTGTGTGTGCGCGCGCGCGCGTGCATGAGCGTGTGGCAGGAGGACAAGATGAGTGAGATGATCGCATCCAGTGTGTTCCGCCATCTGGGTCTGCCCATGGACACAGCCCACACTGCCATGGACGCTGCCTCGCTCTGCCACAAGTACAAATACGACCTCATCCTCATTGTAAGTCACCTCACCTCGTTTCAGCAGACTATCACAAGCGGAGCGGATGCCTTGTCTTTCCTTTTGAGGGTCATCTTCTTCTTCATGCTTGCTCCCCCCACGCGTCGTCGTTCAGCAGCTCATCCTCCTGCCAATGCTTCACCTACGAATCACTCCTTCCATCACGCCCACCTCTCTTGTAATTTGACTCTCTCCCCCACAGCCCTCCCCAACCCCTCCAGGACTGCAACCTATTGAGTGTGGACTAGTTTCGAGTCCACTCAACTTCAACTACCTACGGACCGGCCCCCTTCCCCCAACCACTTTCCGCCATTACCATTACTTTCCCCCGTTACCATTACTTTCCCCCGTTACCATTACTTTCCCCCGTTACCATTACTTTCCCCCGTTACCAATTACTTTCCCCCGTTACCATTACTCCCCCCCGTTACCATTACTTCCCCCTGTTACCATTACTTTCCCCCGTTACCATTACTTTCCCTCGTTACCATTACTTTCCCCCGTAACCATTACTTTCCCCCGTTACCATTACTTTCCCCCGTTACCATTACTTTCCCCCGTTATCATTACTTTCCCCCATTACCATTACTTTTCCCCGTTACCCCTTACTCCCCCCCCCCCTACCAGGACTGCAACCTGTCGGGCTTGGACAGGTTTGACACAGCTTGGCTGCTGACATTGTTGTCAATCTCATTCAATTTGATCCCTATCCCCCCCACCACCCCTCTGCTCAAACCCCCCCCCCCTACCAGGACTGCAACCTGTCGGGCATGGATGGGTTTGACACAGCTCGGCTGCTGAGGGCGCAGGAGAAGGAGGGTGCGGGGCGGGCGGGCGTGTACGAGCGCAGCTGCATGGTGGCGCTCACACCCGGGGTCACCACGAGCAGCGAGGAGGAGCAGCAGTGCATGCGCGCCGGCATGGACTACTTCATCCCCAAGCCCGTGCGACTCAAGGACCTACAGACGGCTGTCAGGTGAGGCCACGCCTGTGAGATAGCTGTCAGGTGAGGGGAGAGGCCTGCAAGTGGTCGTCCGATGAGCAGGGCAGACTCGTGAAACTTGGAAACGTGAACTACTTGTTTTCTATGCTTGCATTTGCGCATCTGTTTCTCTGCATTCCGCCGTTGCACTCTCCCATTCCCTCCCCCATCCCCTGCCTCTCTCCCCACTCCTCTCTCTTTGGCTCCCTCTTCCCCTTGCTTCTCGCGTACCTATGACCAACGTCATCTCAAAATTACTTGCGAGAACTTTGACAAATTGGCCCATTCACCCCGCGCTTTTGAGAACTTGCAGGCATCGACTGAACAAGCTGGATAACGGCGCCACGCTCGTGCAGTTCTGCTCCGTGGATGACGACGACGAGGAGGAAGACGACCAAGGCGACAAGCACAGGAACGAGCAGCAGGAGATGGAAGAGCGGCGCGGCCGCAAGTCAAAGTCCAACCGGCGCAAGCACGCGCAGCGCAGGCGCTCCCACAGCAGCGGCTCAAGCCACACAGAGGATGAGGATGAGGAGGGGGATGAGACAGAGAGCGAGCATCCTGGGGACAGCACCACGCCGTCACTCACACCAGAGGCCACCACGCCTGTATCAGCTGCCATGGCTGCTGCAATGGAGCTCCACCTTCCCCCCGAGGAAGCCCACGCGCTGGTGGCAGCTGCTGTTGCTGCCTCCTCCTCCTCGTCAGGTTTCTCTGGTCTTCCGCCCAACCCGCTTCGGTCCTCGGGAAGCCTTCGCACCACAGGCAGTCTGAGGCCGCAGCCAGGGTCCAGGGATATGCGGTCTGCTCTGGGACGAGGGAAGGAGGGCGGGTCGGGCATGCTTCGGAGAGGGCGGGAGGGCGGATCGGGGTCCCTTGCGTTTTCTGCAGGAGGGGGTGGTGGGTCTGGGGGTTCTGGGTCTTCCCCTAGGAGGGTTGGCAGTGGCGGGAGAGGGGGAGAAGGGCTGGTGGGCGTGGGGAGTGGGCGAAGAGAGGATATTTACAGTCTGATTATGTCTCAAAAGGCCACGCAGGAGGAGGAGAAGGTGCAGCGGCGAGGGTCCGGGCTGCAGAGAGGGGGCAGTGGCAGCAGGAGTGATAGCGGCGGGAGTGGGAGCGTGGGTCGCAGTGGGAGTGGGAGGACGAGGAGCAGCAGACTGGGTAGGGTGGGGGATAGCCGCAGCGGCAGGGACAGCAGGGGGAGCAGGGGAGGACGGAGGAGTATTAGCGGGAGTAGAAGTCGCAGCCACAGCCGCAGCAGCAGGAGCAGCAGGAGCAGCAGGAGCAGGAGCAGCAGGAGCAGAAGCGGGAGCAGAAGCAGGAGTGGTAGTGGCAGTGGCAGTGGGAGTGACAGGAGGAGGCGGAGGGGAGGGGGGAGGCGAGGGAGGAAGGGCGGGCATGGGAGCGCGAGTGGGAGTGCGAGTGGTGATGACGATGACGATAACGACTCAGTGGTTGAAGTGACAGACCCAAAGAGGCTCACTGGGAGACGGTCAGAACTTAAAGCGTTTCTGGATGATGCTGAGGATGATGATGCAGTGAAGGGAATCGGCAAGAGGAGCTCGGATGTGAGTGGGTTGAGGGCGCTGGGGAAGAGGGAGAGTGCTCAGTGGAAGGACGGGCGCGACGTGAAGGAACGCGAGGGGAGCAAGAGCTTGGGAAGGAAGAAGGTGGAGGTGGAGGAAGAGGATGAGGATGGGGATGGGGATGGGGCAGGGGGTGGTGTGACGGGCAGGGAGGATGATGATATTAGGGATGAGCCGAGGGAAGCAGGTAAAGGGCATGTGAAGCAAAAGTCGTCCATGACTGGGCTTACTATGGATCAGATCTGGGCACGTATGATGAATAAACCCGCTGCCATTGAGGAAGGAGGTAGAGGGGATGAGGATGAGGAGGAGAGAGGGAGTTTGTCTGGTTCGGACCGGAGCAGGGGGGGGAGAGGGAGGAGAGGGGGTAGGCGCGGTGGCAGGGATGGGGATAGCGACAGGAGCAGGGATGACAGCAGGGGGAGTAGGGATGACAGTCGGGAGCGAGGGAGGGATAGGGATAGGGATAGGAGTAGGGATTGGGACAGAGACCGGGACTGGGATAGTGATAGGGATAGTGATAGGGAGAGGGATAGGGGCTGGAGCAGACGTAGGGGCGGGGAGAGAGATAGAGACAGGGATAGTGACTGGGATAGTGACAGGGAAGGGAGGGGAAGGGGTAGTGATTCTGATAGTGAGAAGGGAGGGCGAGGGAAGAGGAGAGGAGGGAGGAAGGGGTCAGGAGGAAGTGGGAGCGACAAGGATAGGGATGAGGAGAGGAGAAGGGACGGCAGGAGGCGAAGCAGGAGTAGGAGCTCTGGCAGAAGAAGCTCCAGAAGCGGGAGCGACGAGGAGGAGAGGGAGAGGAGACGGGAGCTGAAGAAGCAGGAGAGCGATGGGAGCGACGGGGAGCTGTTGCCAGGGCTGGCGGAGGCGGCGGCAGCAGCGGCGGCGGGTACGCTGGTGAGCACGCCGAGCCTGGGGCGGCTGGTGCATGAGAAGGAGGTGGAGATGGCTCGGAACCTCAAGACGCTGGATGAAGATGATGATAATGACCATGAGGATGACGATGATATGGATGGGGACGCTGCTGCTGCTGCTCCGGCTGCTGCTGCTGCTGCTGCTGCTGCCGTTGCTGCTGCTGCTGGTGGTGCGGGTGCTTCTTCTGCTGCTGGCACCGCTGAGTCTTCTGTGCAGCCATCTGTGCTGGCAGCAGCCAATGGAGGTGACAGTGCAGGTGGTGTTCCCTCAGAAACAGCAGCTGGCAAGGAAGCGGCTCCTGCTGCTGCTGCTGCTGACAATGGTGCTGTTGGTACTGGTGCAGCAGCAACAGCAACAGCCCAAGGTGGAGGTGACGGGGATGACGGTGTTGACGATAACGATGATGGGGAGAGCGACAGCGATGGCGAGGCCGGGGAAGCAGCTGATGGCAGCCCTACGCTGGGGCGAACGTTCACAGTGAAGGCGTCGGGGGACCGCATTCGGCAGCTGCTGCGCAGCCAGACCACGGACCGCGTGGCGGGGAAGAAGAGCCAGCAGGACAGCGACAGCACAAACCCGGCGCTCGTTAGAAGCAAGACCGCGGGAACTACTGTACCTGTGCACCTGCAAGGCCAGGGGGTGATTGGCAGGGTGGGTGGTGGTGCTGGTGCTGGTGCTGGTGCTGGTGCTGCTTGTGGTGGTGGCTTGGGGGTTGGGCGCACGAGCAGCATGGGTGGCAGCAGGCTGGGTGCAAGCTCGTTTGGAGTGCCGGAGGGTGGGGGTCGGTATGACGTGGCATCGGCTGCTGCAGCGGCAGTTGCTGCTGTGCCTGGTGGGGCTGGAGCAGTGTCAGGTGATGCCCCCTCCTCCTCCATTGCTGCAAGTGCAGCGGATGGAAGGCAGGGCGGGGAGGCAGCAGGAGCGGGAGCAGGAGCCGGGTCGGATGGGGAGGAGTTGTCTGAGGATGAGGGGATGGCGTGGGAGCGCGAGGTGAGGGAGGGCAGGGGTGGTTCGGGGCGGCATATGGACGAAGAGTTGCCGCTGGGGTGGGGCATGAAGGACCGCCTGGGAGGGCCCAGGGGAAGCTACAATGAGCGGGACGAGGAGGAGGAGGAGGAGGAGGAAGAGGAGGAGGAGGAGGAGGAGGAGGATGAGGAGGATGAGATGGATATTGAGGAGGAGATTGCGTTGGCTAGGGTTGCAGCATCCGAGAGCTTGAACAGGAGGAAGGCAGCGCAGTTGCTAGAGGAGCTAGGGCCGTGGGGAGGAGATGGTGCTGCAGACATGGGGTGATGGCATGGGAAGGGGGGGAAGGCGTGAACCAGGGGGCTGGAGGTGGGTGCGGCACAGTACCAGGGGTTGCATATGCATGTGCGGGTGTGGCTTGGTCTGAGACGCCTGTGTTACAGATGGTGCAGCAAAGCCACATGCTGCTACTGCTGTTGCTGTTACATCCTTGTGGGCTGTTGGTGCTGCCAGCACTGTATTGTTTGTACGGTATTCCTCCCATCCCAATCCCCAGCCCCAGCTTCTCCCAGGCGTGTCTGTTGCTCGTCTGCATGTCTCCCTCCTCTTCCTAACAGTCCCTTCTCTCCTGTAGGTAAAGAACAGCAGACCATGGTGCATGACGTGAAACCAGATGGGATGCGTCATCATGGGTCATGGCATGCATGTTACGTGCACTGCACGGGGAATCAGTGCGGCCTGCCTTGTGCTGAAGTTGGGATGGGATCATGTGCTGCTTGTGTCTGGCCAGGCCAGCTGTTGTCTGTAGTGTAGTAGTAGTACGGTACTAACAGGTGGTGCTGAGGTGACACTGCCATGTGCTGTCTTGTAGGGTACAATAGGTCTGCACTGCTGCTGTGTAGATCCGTAGACTACAATAGGCCAAAGAACCTTGTTAGCAGATTACGGTACCTTCACATGGTGGCAGTGGTGCGCGTACGTAAACCAGTCCACATAAACACGAATCAGGAGAAATACATGTTTCTAGTGGCATGGCACCATCACAATCACCATCCAGCGACCGTTTTTGTCCCTTACACCAAACCCTAGTGCCTCCAACCGTCCAGCTCAACTCAAATCCGGTACCAGTCCAGTACCTCCTGCAACAAACAATGCATGTCTGCCTGTTCAATCTTTGAACCTCGAGTATGGATGGCGCAAGGTAAACAAGGAAACCGCACCAGCAAAACACCACCATCTTTCACAGACTACCGTACTCCCTTCCCCCCACAAACCCCAACCCAACCCCGCACACCCCCTCTACAAATCCTTCCCCTTGGGCTCAACCGGCCTCTCCCTCTCCCTCTCCCTCGCCTCTTCCTGAGGCTCCTCCTCCATCTGCACGAACAAGCTCGCATGCGGGTGCAATCCCGCTTCCTGCAGCGTCTTGGAGCGCTTCTCAGCGTCGTACACGGTGCGGGGGAAGTTGGAGACGAGCAGGTAGTGGTGCGAGGGCAGCAGCGATCCCAGCGCCTCTGAGTCCACGTAATCGTAAAGGGCCTGCACGCGGTCAGTTGAGCGGAACCGCCGCTCCTTGCGCTCGCCCCCTGGCAGGCGAATCAGCACCTGCCCCAGAGGTGATGGGTGGGGTGTGATAGGGTGAGGCGGGATGGGGTGGGAAGGATGACCTATCAAACGCCCCCTTGCAGAGTTCTACACGTGAGTGGTGTCTCGATCTCTACCTGCTCTAGCTGCTCTCCCAGCAGTGCTTTCTCTGGCTGCTCTCCCAGTCTACCCATTGCCTCTGACCGTTTCCTCCCCACAGCTGCCACTGTGTTTCAAGGCAGCACAACATGGCTTTGCTACGACGGTGCTCTCACCTGAGTGGTGTCTGGGCCTTTCTCTGGCTGCTCTCCCAGTCTCCCCATGGCCTCTGACCGCCTCCTCTCCACCACAGCTGCTTTCTCCGCGGCTGCCCTCTCTGCCTGCCGCTGCTGCTCTGCCTCCTCCTCCGCCCGCCGTGCTGCCGCCTCCTCCTCCTCCCGTTGCTTCCTCGCAGCTTCCTCCCGTTCCCTCTCACGCTCCTGGTGGCACGAGGTGCAGACCGGGGATGAGGAGGGCAGCAGGGGGACAGTGACAACGGCAGTGGTGGAAAGGTATGAGAGGGCAATGGATGGCCAGATATTGGGATGGACGGGAGGCCGGGCAAAGGCTGCAGGGGGGTTGAAAAAAGCATAACTGTAATTTTCTCGGCACACCCTCTAGACCCACCCCGCGCCAGCTCTTCACTGCCCCCACGCAGGCTGTTCCCCACACTCGAGTGGTTCCCACATGCACTGTCCTGCCAACCCTGCACCCCCCCCCCACCCCCTTGATCCCTTCCCCCGTTCCCCCCCATGCGATGCGCGCACCTGGTCAGCGAGCAGCGCGGCATGGAAAGCAGCGTCCTGCTCCTCGCGCAGGCGGCGGGTGAGCGCCCTCTCCTCCGCGTCCGCCCTCGCCGCCACCAGCACCGCGCCATGGTCCTCCACTGCGCGCTCCAGCGCTGCCCTCAACTCGCCCGCCGACACGTAGCCCTGGATCTGCCCCGCTCAGGGGGACAGAGGGCAGGATGCACGGAGGGCAGGAGGGTGGGGGGGGTGGGGAGGGCAGGATGGAGGGAGGGAGGGAGGGAGGGAGGGAGGGAGGGAGGGAGGGAGGGAGGGAGGGAGGGAGGGAGGGAGGGAGGGAGGGAGGGAGGGAGGGAGGGAGGGAGGGAGGGAGGGAGGGAGGGAGGGAGGGAGATGGGAGGGAGGGAGGGGGAGGAGGAGGTAAAGCGACGCCCTTGCTGTGTGATTATTTTCCCATTTTCTTCTTTTTTGGTTCTTAACTCACAACCACCCCCCCCTCCTGGCCCCCCCCCTTCCTCTCCCCCCTCTCCCTGTTCCTTCAACATCCTTTCCCTCCCCTCCCCCCCCCCCCTTTCCCCCCTCCCCTCCCCTCCCCTCCCCTCCCCTCCCCTCCCCTCCCCTCCCCTCCCCTCCCCTCCCCTCCCCTCCCCTCCCCTCCCCTCCCCTCCCCTCCCCTCCCCTCCCCTCCTTGCCCCTCCCCTCCCACCGCGCGCGCGCACCTGCTGCAGCAGCGCGACGCGCCCGCCCGGCGCGGAGGTGATGAGCGCGAGGAAGGGGAAGCGCACGGCGTGCAGGCGGTGGCTCATCTGGAAGCCCTCGACGCTGCGCACGTCCGCTGCCCACAGCACCAGCTGCTCGTCGATCACGCGCACCACCTCCGCGTCGCACAGCGTGTCGCGGCAGAACCTAGGCGTCGCCGCGTGCTCCGGCGCGTGCAGGTACACCAGCAGGAAGCGGAACTGCTCGCCCGCGCGCCGGAGCGCGTCCGCGAAGCTCCCCGGAAAGAACTCGGGGTGCCCGGACCCAAACTCCGCCTCGAACCGTTGGCGGAAGATCGCCGCGTCTTGAGCCTGCTGGTTCCCCCCTCCCCCTCCCCCTCCGCCCCCCCGCTGCGCCTGTTGTTGCGCCGCTCCCCCGGCCTGCTGCGAAGGGTGAAGCGCGCCGATAGTCCCCTGATGCCCGCTGTACGGGTGCGGGCCACCCGCTAGCCAGAGCGTCACAGAGCTGAGAGACGCGAAGAAGGTGGATAAGATACCGCCTGCCGCCCACAAGCCCAGGCCGAAGAGACTAGCCATGACCCCCAGCCCTCCGCGGAGCACCCAGAAGGGGAGGGACAGTAGGCGCGAGAGGAGCGACGACGATGAGTTGCGGTGGGACGCGCGGACTGGCGCGCGGCCCGAACGGAGCGCGGAGACGGCGGGAGGGAGTGCGCCCGTGGCGCCGTCCGCAGCCGCTCCTGCTGCTCCGGGACTGCTTCCCCCCCCGCCCCCGCCGCCGCCGCCTCCGCCCCCGCTTCCCCCGCCTGCGACAAGCCCTCCCGTCCGTGCGCGCAGATTCGAGTTGCCGATGGGCCCTCCGCTTCCTCCTCCTCCTCCTGCTCCTCCTCCTCCTCCTGCTGCTGCTGTGGCCCCTCCCCCTGCGCCTGCGGAACGCGCCAAGCTGGTGCCGGCGGAACTGCCAGCAGCCGCTCCTAACCTGCCGGCAGCAGCAGCAGCGGAATCTCCGCCGCCGCTGCCGCCTCCCAGATCACCCCCTGAGGCGCCGCCAAAGTGCTCTCGATCCGCGGCGGCGACCGCGAGGAGCGTGCTGGCGGCGGCGTTGACGTCCCACGCGTGCGCCTCCAGAACCTGGCGGCAGTGCGTCTCGTCCGCCACCCCCGTCACCTCCTGCAACGTCTGAACCGCTTGCGCCGTCGCCGCTGCGTCCAGCAGAGGCGGCGGAGGCGCCGACGCAGCCGCTGCCATGAGCGAGGCGAGTGGGCTCTAAACGGGGATGGAGAGGGCGGGAGCGAAATTCGCGTGAAAGAATCGGCGCGAGGGGTCTCTCTATACGCGGCAACGAATTGTAAGAAAGAGGGACGCCCGAGGAGCAGAGCATAAGCTGGTACGCCTGGCACGCTCGATTCACCGATGCTCGGCCGCTATGGAGGAAGACAGGTGTGGAGGGTCAAACAGAGACTCACTGAACAAGGCTGCTGCACAGTTGCCCAGTTTCGTTTCTGTGCTCGTCTGGTGTGATCGAGGAATTATGAGAAGTCTGGGCCGGGGGGCGGGCTTGAGGGGGAAAAAGGGAACGAGTCTTGCGTGCGCCACATGACAGGTCACAGGACTAGAGCGGGAAAACTTTGGGGAAGGCGGGGGTGAGGTGGGGACCCGCGAGAGGAGCACGAGTGTTGGTGGGTGGTGCCACCGCTGACCGACAGGAGGAGAGAGACTCGCTAAAAGCGAGGGGCGAAGCTTTTGGGTCCAACTAGGTTCCCAGCATCTCGGAGGATCTGTAGCAAATGATGTGTAAGGAATTCTGCTAATTCCTTACTGAGGCTGTTCTTACGCGTACAATTCCAACCTTCGGAATTCAGGCTCGGTCCGACGACCTCGCCTTCCGAACGTCAACCGCGTCGCCTTCGGGTTTTCCAACCCCAAACCTGCACCCAACCTTCGCGCGACTCCGCGACCTCGGCCTAGCTAGCTTTGCTATATTATGCCTAGGTCTCGTTGTTTGCTCAGTAGTTGTAATCACTTCCGCGATATTGCATTATGCGCACTCTTCATTCTTACAACTCACCCAACTCTTCATTCTTGCATTCTTACGGTTCTGTAGCAATTGATGAGTGGTTTGTGCTACGATCAGAGATTGATCGTAGGCCGGGATCTACCCAGGAAGGTTCGCACGCAGTGAGAATAGTTGGTGGGCCCTTGATCTCAATAGCAGAGTGAATGTAAATGCTTGAGATGATAAAAACATGCAAACAAGGTCATATAAATAAGAGTACAAGGGAATGCGAACAGACCTATCTAGCCATGTACTCTAAGGGGTACATTCCCTTATTCAAATTCACTCCCAACCGTGCGGCGCGTACAGTTTCGTAACTGTTCCCGCCAAAACCATCCTGCCTGCAGCTGCCCGATGCCGTCTGCTTCCGACGGTCCAGATGCGTTCCAACTGTCCGTCGCTTCGAGTCAATTCCAACCGTCTGACGGTTCGCGTTCATTCTCGTTACTGCGTGCTTCTCTTTGCTGCGGTGAGGAGTGCACAGTAATATCAAATATTACTATTCGTAACACCCCCCTTCACTCCTGACCGTAGCTCGACTTGACCTGCTTGACCACGCCGCTGAGTTCGGAGCAGTGCTGATACTGCTGGCGTGGCAGTCGCTTCGTGAGGAAGTCCGCTGCCATGTCACCCGTCGGGCAGTAGGTCAAGTTGACCTTGCCCTTGTCCACCTCGTCCTTCACAAAGAAGTACCGCAGTGCAATGTGCTTGGTGCGGTTGACGAAACCAGGTTTGTTCGCGATACGAATCGCGCTCTGGTTGTCGCAGTGAAGGCGGAAGCTCGGCGAAGTCGGAATTTTCGCCTCTCGCAGGAGTTCCTGCAGATAGAGGCCTTCGCGAACTGCTGCGGTTGCTGCGATAAATTCTGCTTCGGCGGATGACAGGGCAACCAATTCCTGCTTCTGTGAATTCCAGGAGATTGGTCCCGATGGCTCGAGTCGGAACAGGAAGCCGGTCCTGGACCGTCGATTGTCGGGGTCTGCTGCGTGATCGGCGTCCACGTAGCCGATGAGGTTGAAGGATGGAGTTGGTGCAGTTGAGTAGCACAGCCCAATCTTGGGCGTTGAAACGAAGAATTGAAGGGCGCGCTGCAGGTCTAGGTGATTCTCGGCCGTTGGTTTGCGTGAGTACTGCGCGAGCTGACTCGCAATGTAGGAGAGATCTGGCCTGCAGGTGACAGAGGCGAAGAGGAGGCATCCCAGCTGCTGCTGGTAAGTCTGAATCCCAGCAGGGGATAGGGCTTTGTTGTCAGGTTTGTGGTTCGGTCCGGGGGTTCGGTAGGGAGTTGAGAGAGGCGCAGGTGAAATGTTGAATCGCTTCCCTAACTCCTCTGCGTACTTAGCCGCTGAGAGGTGAATGGCCTCAGGTGCGTAGGAGATGTTGAGGCCCAGGAACTGCTTCACCTCGTAGTTGCACGTGATGTCGACGCGCCCCGCCAAGGCCTTCTCGAACTGCTCCAGAAGCTCATTGTTTGAGCCTGTGTAAAGCAGGTCGTCGACGTACACGGTGAGGAGAATGTATTCCCCGCGGAAGTCGCGGCGGTACATCCCTGGATCATGCGGCATCTGCTTGAACCCGATTTCAAGCAGGATGTTGTGCAGGTACTGCTGCCACAGCCTCGGAGCCTGCTTGATGCCGTAGAGAGACTTGCGCAGCTGACACACACGCGAATCCCCTTCGCCGTAGGTGTGTGGCTGCTCCACGTAGATCACGGCGTCCACTAACGCGTACAGGAACGCGTTCTTCACGTCGATTTGACGGAGTGGCAGGTGCCTTGCGGCTGCGATGGCGAGCAGGATGCGGACGGAGGTGTGGCGGCTGACTGGGGCAAATGTCTGGTCGAAGTCGATCCCATGCCTCTGGTCATAGCCGCGAACCACCCAGCGCGCCTTGAAGCGCTCGATCGTTCCATCCGCCGCGGTCTTCACGCGGAAGACCCACTTCCCCGAGAGAATTCTTGCGCCTTTGATTGCTGCGCGGTCGACGAGCACCCAGGTGTCGCGTGATTCCAGTGCCTTGATTTCCGCGTCCATCGCTTCGCGCCACTCCTTGCTGTGTGGTCCAGAGAGGGCCTCGCGCGGATTTCGGGGCTCGATGACGCGTGGCGCTTTCGAGGTTGCAGCGTGAAGTCCGAGCAGCTGCAGTCCCGAGACGGTGCTGTCGTGGCGATGTTGCGGGACGACTTCCTGCACGTCGTCGTCGCTTTCAGGGTCAGGTGCTGGTGGTGCTGCGCCTCCGCCGCTTCCGCCTGTTCCGCTTCCACTTGCTCCGCCGATTCCTCCTCCAGAGGAGTCGTCGTCGTCGTCGCTGCTTCGCCGATCCTCCCATGCGAATTCTCCCCTTGTATCCTGCTCCAGGATTGCTGCAGCGGCTTCGTCTTCATGGGTTGCGTAGCTGTGGCCATCGTTGGTATAGACGCGATTCGCGTTCGCTTGCTCGTCGCGGCGGAATTGGTCGAGGAAGAGACGTTCGTAGAATATGACGTCGCGAGCGTTGGCAGTCTTCTGACTGAGGAGGTCCAGCACGATCCACGCCTTGTGTTCGTGGCTGATGCCGAGGTGAATTCCCCAGCGCGCGCGGCTGGCGAATTTGCCAATAGTTGACGTTGGCGGGCGGTACTGCACCATGCATCCCCATACGCGCAGCATCGATGTGTCCCCCTTAGTCCCGGTCCACTTGACGTGCGGGGACAGATTGCCGGTGATGGCGGTGGTCGAAAGCAGGTTGTGCACCCGCACGGCGTGGTGCATAGCGTAGGTCCAGTAGATCGGCGGCAGTTTCGACTGCTTCATCAGCGCGCGCACCTTCGTCATTAGTGTGCGGTTCGTCCGCTCAGCTACGCCCTGCTGTTGGTGTGCGTAGGGGAGAGAGATGTGGTGCTCGATCCCCTTCTGTGCCAGGAAGGTCTGCATCTGGTTGCTCCTGAACTCTGCCGCGCCGTCGGATTGCCAAATCTTAAGCTTCTTCCCAGATTGCCGCTCCGCGTGCGGCAGCCAGAGGCGAAATACCTCGTAGGCTCTGTCTCGCGACTCCACATTCACGACCCACACATAGCGCGTTCCAGCGTCAATGAAGGTGAGCGTGTATAGCTCATCCTCGACTCCGCAATGCCCCACGTTCAGGAAATCGCTGTACACCTTGTGCAGCTTGGGGTAGCGGTTGGTTCCAGGTTCGAGCAGCGGGAACGGTTGGTGACTCAGCGCGGCTTCGGGGCAGACGGTGCAGTTGCGCGGGTGTGTCGCGCCGCTCACTTCGGAGCCATCAGGGCGCAGGAGTGCGCCAGGAGCGAAGACGCCTGCGTCGATGCAGTTTTTCAGCGTCGCGCGGGAAGGGTGTCCGAGGCGCTGATGCCAGAGGGCATCGTCAGCGCGAAAGCCGGAGGTGCGCATATAGCGCGCGCGCGCTTCTTCAGGGTCTTCGTCAGGTACAGGAGCAGGTTCTGCCGCTACTTCTTCGACTTCTTCTTCTTCTGCCGCGGTAGTCAGCATCAGCGCCAAGAACTCTCTGTCGCGAATGTCAGAGAGTGGGATGTTGGTCCCAGGGATAGTTCCAGGGACTAAGGTAGGTTGGCGTGGCTCAGGGGCAGGTCCGTAGACAGTGCGACGCGGGGTTGACGGCTCGTTGCCCCAGATGATGGTGTCCCAAGGGTCGCGACGCGGGGGAATGTCTGCAGGGGGTGGTGCGAGCGGGATGTGACGCGGGGGACGACCGAGAGGAACGACTGCAGGTGCTGCTTCGATTTCTTCGCGAATGTCCTCTCCCCCCCTTCGTTCTTCGCGGGAAGTGCCCCAGCCGCTGTCTGCGGCGGTAGGTACGGCGCCCCATCCTCCGCTCGCGTTGGCCCAGGTTCCGCCAGTGTCGCCCCAGCCGCCAGTATCACTGGTTCCCCATCCTCCAGCGTTCCCCCACCCCCCTTCATTGGAGGCACTTTCTTCCTCCTCGGCTCCCCAGGCGACGCAAGCGAAGGTCCCGCGGGCTTCCGTGAGACTTTGCTGGCGAAGCTCCTCAGCTTCGCGGCGCGCCAGTTCTTCCTCCTGCTCCACGGTGAGTTTTGCCGTGGGATCACGCCAGTGAGGGTAGACCTTCATGAATTCCTCGAGAGTGTAGGGGCGCGGGACTCCTCGTGAGTCCAGGCTTCCGCGGCGTTGTCCGCGCAGGATGTTGTCGAGCCGCTGGGAGGGAGGTCCAGCGT